GGACCCCCACCGGGCCACGGCGCCCTCTCCGGCCTCCTCGCGCCGTCCGGTCGCGCCCTCCCGCACTGCCCTCCGTGCTTCCAGTTGCTTCTTTCCCAGACCGCTCCATTTCCTGACCGTTCTCCCCTGCTTCCTGTTTCTTTTTCCTGCTCCCCAGTCTCTTCCGAGTCCCTGCTCTTCTGTGTCGCGATGCTCCCTTGTCACCCAATAGTTTCTTGGCCAAATTCCCCCAAGTCCCCACCCCCGGCCTCTGTTTGTCTCCCTCCCGCTCGCTGCTCCTCCCTTCTGGTCCCCTGGGCTTAAAAATAACCACCCCTTTCCTCCCTCGGAGCCCCCACAGCACTCCAAGACCTTCTTCAGGCCCAGCGTGTTCTCACCCTCCACTTGGGCAGTGCGGGCCCTAACTGGCCAAGTCCCCAGGAAGGGTACACACAGTCTGGGGTGGGTGGGCCCTCGCCCGGGAAGCAGCCTTCTGCAGGTTTCCAGCCTGTAATCTCACAGTGCAGGAGCATTGAGTCAGGGGAGGCCAGCTGTGCGTGGTAGGGCCTGGAGCAGCCCTCTGGGGAAGAGTGTATGGATTTCTGACATTCCCTGGAGTTTGTGTTTTTGCCGTTTTCTCTTGGGGGTGAAGGCTGAAGATAAAAGTGCAGTTTAGATAGGGTAGCCGGAGGCTCTGTAACTTAACCCTGCCAAGAATAAGAATCTGTCTGTAAAGTTAATTCTTTTGTCTTAGTATAAACCCTTTCCAAATTGATCAGTTTATCAGATTTTCTCAGGAGAAACAACTTTGGATTCCCTTCCTCCCCCTCCACCCCCCATCAGATCTTATTATGAATGAGAACAGTCTCAGCCTTAAGCAAACTTATGAACAAAGTGAAAAGCTTCTGTTTCTTGCACATCTGCACCACCTGCCCCCAGCGCTGCCCTCCCCAGATGGCCAGGGACCTGGGACCATCCCACCTGGGGAGGAATTCCATATGATCTCTCCTTCCCCTCCTCCTTGTCCCCAGTCAAGACAGCTGTCATCTTTGAAAGTGATCTGACAAACTACTTCATACCTTTCAGGGAGAGCTCCATACCCAAGGGGAGGTGACTGACAGACAAGACCTTCTCCTTAAGAAGTGAATTTCTAATGCCTCCGATGCAAGAATTTCACTGTCAGAGGCTGGAGTTGATATTGGTGGTCAAAGGAGATAATTTCAGGCGGGCGATCTCTCAGGCTCCTCAGTGTATAGCCTATAGGCAGTACCCTAGAAGTTTGACTGGCCCCACGTGGATTGTCGGGAAGGGTGGGAACCCCTCTTTTCCTCTGTACCCCTGCAGTGTGGGCATAGGTCTTCCCCCTGGCTAAGTCATCAGGTTAAGACCCCAGCAAGTTGTTTGACTTAAGGAGAAAGCGTGCTTTTCCTGCTCTCTTCTGACAAAATAGAATAGCAGTCCTTACCTTCAGAAGGAAATTATCTGGTACAATTTCTTTGGTTTGGAGTTAGAATAGCTAATAATAGACTCAGGCAGTGATTAGCTCCCTACTTTCTTCTCTCTAATGGTCTGTTTTGGCTAACCTGCGTTCTCCTGTTTCTTCTATTCTTCCTGTATTCCTTTTTTTCTTTGTTTCCTTTCTTTTTCTTTATTATTATTATTATTGTTATTATTATTATTTTTGGTTTAAGCCCAGCTCAAGGTTTTCGGAGACTATAAATGAATTTTGAGGCTTGATGAGCCCCCATCACAGACTTGTTTGATAATTGTAGTGTTGGCCAACGGTCAGGGGCTTTCCAAATACAGGGAACTATGGAAAGGTGTGTTAAGGAGCTTACTGAGCTTTTTAGTAAATATTAATGAGTAGTCACCATGTGCGTGGCCCTTTAGGGGCAAGCAGAGATTCTACAATAATAGTATCACATAGAATGTGATAAGATACGGTCACACCACATACACAGTGTGTCTGGAATGACTGTGGGAGATGTCCCTCTGGCAAGGGCCCTGGTCCCCACTACTGATTTTGAAAGACAAGATTGCCTGGGCAGCCAAGGCAATGGGAAGTGTGTCCTGGCCTCTGCTTCCGTGTTATTGCTTCTTTCCTCGTCGTAATGGCCTCCTAAGCATCCTTCTTGCCTTTGTTTCCTACGCACAACTTCCAGATGACTTCCTAAAACACCGCCCGGAAAATGTCACTGACCTGCTCCCCATTGCCTACAAAAAAAATATTCAGACTTCTCGTCTTGGCATTCAAAGCTCCGTATACTCACTCGTCAATCCATTCTTGCCCAAGACACACTTTGCAGAGTGCCTTCTGCAGGAAATGTCATCTCTAGTTGTTGAAATCTGACCCAGTTCTTCAAGTTTTAGTTCCGACATGACATGAGTAAAGCCTTCTCTGTTCTAGCCTGTTGGAAATTACCCCTCTTTTCCTAGAGGTCACTTTCCACCTCTCCTGTGTCGTCACAGTACTTCCTGTAGTTGAGTTGTTCAGTGCGGTTTTGTATTCTCTTCTCCTTTGTGGCACTGTACTGCCTGTGGCATCTAGCATAGTGTCCTGTATGTAGTAGGCACTCAGAAGATACTTCTTGAATAGATTAAAGGAGATACGCAGTTCTCTGCAATAAAGCATGAAGTTAGAGGGAGATGCATCCAGGATCCCTGGAGAGGGCTTGGTGGAGCTGGTGGCCTCAGTGGGACCTCACTGGGGACTGTTAGGATCTAGACAAGTGTAGGGGGCACAGGGCATCTTGGGCAGAGGAGTGGCCTGAGCAAAGACCAAATGGTAGAAATAAATGTCTGTGGGGAGGGACTGTGCATTTTTGTGCATTTTTCTCTTGCAAACATTTGCTCTGCAAGAAAAGAGAAGAAATGCCCTTTTTTGGGAGAAGTGTTCAGGGAAAGTGGTTGTTATCAGTTCAAGGTCAGTTCCAACAAGACCGTGGAGATGGAAAGAGCACTTCTGGAAATGGCGGCGGGGTGCGGGGAGGAGGGTGGCGTTTAGGGCTTGCTCATAGAGTCAGAATCCCCCAGGGCCAAGAGAAGGAGCTAGAGGAGGCATGGATGGGAGCAGAGCTAGCTAAGGAGGAGTTAGGGCTGCACAGCCTGCAGCCTTGGCCCAAAGCTGCACTCCCATTACAAGTAAAGCTCTTTCTTAATATTATGCTAACGTTACCCATCTGGCTGAACTGAGCCTGTCATGGCCTTGAACACAGCTTTTCACAGTCTCAGATTCAGAAGGAGCTGAAAGTTTCGTTTTTAACACATGTTCCATCTCTGTCTTGCTTTTGTTGTTTTGGGGGTACCCCCCGTTTTCCTCTGTGTACCTCCATTGTAGCATAACTATGTTGCATTGAAATGATCTGTTTCTGTCTGTTTACTGCACCAACATTCTTCACTCCTCTGGGACAGGGATTGTGGCATCATGACATGTGGCAGGAGTACAGCATTTCCAGGAGAGGGGGGTTCTGGGGAGAAGTGCCAGGAGGTTGTCGGCAAGATATGGAGACAGTGCGGACGTGCTTCCTATACATGTGTTACTCTTCCTTTTGAGAATTCGGGATCACAGTGCCTCCTCCAGGGCCTCGCACTGACCCGACACTTAGTAGATGGTAGAATGTCCGTTCCGATGAGTGCTGGTAGCAGCGGAGCCCGTGATCACGCAGTTTATGTCTCTGCTCTCTCTGCAGCGGGAGCCCAGCATTGACCTGCTGGAGGCGTTCGTGGAGCACTGGAAGGGTATCACGCACTACTACATCGAAAGCACAGGTGGGGCCTGGTCTCCCCTGCAGGGAACTGGGAAGAAGGTATGGGCAGAGTCACCATGTAGCTCAGAGGCACGTATGTCCTGGGGAAGGTGACATCTGCTTCCTAGGAGTTCAGAGTGTGGGCTGGCCCTACTCTGACCTTTTGCGAGATGAGGGATGTGAGGTGGGAGTGGGGACAAGGAGGTTGGGGGTCTCACTGGCCTACCCTACAAGGCAGAGATTGAGCTCCATCGCCTTCAGCTTCCAGCTGGGTACAGCGTCCAGGCCTTCAGTCTTCAAGTGCCTGTATCGGGGGCTTACTGATGAATGGTAAAAAAATTGAACAAATTCCTCCTTTCCCTAAGCCAACTTGGAGGACATTTCCCTTGTAGAGTCGGGGGTAGGAGGAGGACAAAAACATAAAACATGCCTCGGTTCTTCTCCCAGCCTGACACCCCAGAGAGCCAAAGCCTTGAGGTATCTGGGCCCATCAGTCTCGCTCCCTGGGGGCAAAATCTGATTGGCTGCTCTGTAGTCAGTGAGCTGATATTGGCGGATGCACACTGGTTGTCAGGTAACCCCGTGCTGGGTCCTTAGCTTTCACTTCCTGGAGTTCAGACTGGGCTTGAGTCCAGCCTACAGCTTTCCTAAAGACTTTATTTCTAGGCCGAGCTCACCCAAGAAATTAGAAAGTAGCTTTGACTACTCTGAGGGACCCTCTGAACCTTCTGTTAGACAGGGTTCCTCAGTTTTGGCACTGGACGTTTGGACTGGCTCACTCTTTGTTGTGGGGGTGCATTGTAGTATATTTAGCAGCAACTCTGGCCTCTACCCACCAGAGGCCAGTAGCTCCCCTGTCCTCATTGTGACAACCGTAAATGTTTCTCCAGACATTGCCAGATGTCCCCGGGGTGAGGGGTGCAATATCGCCCCCCAGTTGAGAATGACTGCTTTAGACTGATGATCTCTCTTCTTTTTCAATGAGATATAATTGACATATGACACTATATTAGTTTTCAGTTATACAACATATTGATTCAATATATAGATAGATTGCAAAATAATCACAATAAGTCTAGTTGACAATCCTCACCACATAGTTACAATTTTTTTCTTGTGATGAGAACTTTTAAGATCTACTTCCTTTGCAATTTTTAACTATACAATCCAGTATTATTAACTATACCCACCATGCTGCACATGACCTCCCCAGGCCCAATTTTATAACTGGAAGTTTGTACCTTTAGACTGATTTTAGATCTTGACAGAGAGCCCCAATCCATCAGGAGAGTAAGAAGAGATCCAGAGCTGACCCAAGTCTGCCTGGGGCTTTGCGGGGGCCCAATCTC